CGCCTCGGCCTCTTCTTTGGCGGCGGCTTTGTCCATGCTTGCACGGCGGTTGGTGGTCTCTGGATAAAATTTCTTAAATAATTTAGAGGCGAAGTTTGGATTTTGGAAGATCGTCATCTTCAACTCGTGAGGGGTTGTGTCTTACGTTTACTTCTGCTATTGCAGGGTGCGAAAGTCTTCGGGGCACATGCTAGTTTAGACTAGGGTAGGAAGAATCTACATGTAGGTAGGTGTGTTCCTACTGTATGTATTTGAGTAGGTCGTTTTTTCGATTGAGGTTTCCCATTATATATATGTATGTATCTGTAAGGGATTCTATGATCAGGTAGCGGCAACCTGCCCTGAATTTCAATGCACTGTTGGTGCTTATCGATAGGGTACTGCTCTTTATCGATAGTATCCCTGTCCCTGCCCTGCAGCCACTATAAAGCTACTAGGATCGCCCCTGCTATAGACGCGATAGGAAGTCGCGGTGCGGCGTCGAGTCATCGTCATCGTCCTTGTCCATTCCTGCCATTGTGATGTTAGGCAACCAAACTTCTTCTTTTTCTCTCAATTCCAACTCGATCTGCAATACGTAGATCGACATCACCCATCATGCTGCCATGCCTCGATGGCACATGATCGTTTCACTTCCTTCATATAGTAGAATCTACAAATTGAAACAATTCACAGTCCAAGTTTCGTTGTAAACCTCCAACTGTCAACATGGGTGTAAACGGGCTTTGGACTGTGGTCCAGCCCTGCGCCCGGCCCACGAACCTCGCTACTCTCAATCGTAAGCGTCTAGCCGTCGATGCCTCCATCTGGATTTACCAGTTCCTCAAGGCCGTGCGCGACAAGGAGGGAAATGCCTTGCGCAATTCGCACGTCGTCGGCTTTTTCCGCCGTATATGCAAGCTGCTATGGTTCGGCATCCGCCCGGTTTTCGTCTTTGATGGCGGCGCCCCTTCTCTCAAGCGCCAGACTATTACGAACCGCAAGCGTAGACGCGAGGGTAGGAGAGAAGATGCGGTTCGTACCGCGGGCAAGCTACTTGCCGTACAGATGCAGCGCATAGCGGAAGAAGAGGACAAGGAGCGCAAGAGAAAAGCGGAGCGAGACCAGGAGGGGAGACCCGAGACCGAAGAACCAGTCGAGGAGATTCCGGACGCAGATAAGCTGGTCTACGTAGATGAGATAGGAATGAATCAAACTGAGCGACAGAAGAACAGGAAGTTCTACAAACAGGATGCATATCACTTACCGGAACTGGACGGCGGCATTGAGGGCATGGGTCGACCGGAAGACCCTCGCATCATGAGTATCGAAGAATTAGAGCAATACGCGAGACAGTTTAACAGTGGTGAAGACATCAACATTTACGACTTTAGCAAGATCGACTTCGAGGGCGAGTTCTTCAAGAGCTTGCCGCCCGTTGATAGATACAACATTCTGAATGCGGCAAGATTGCGAAGCCGACTGAGAATGGGTTTGAGTAAAGAGCAATTAGACGGAATGTTCCCCGACAGGATGGCCTTCTCCCGGTTTCAGATTGAAAGGGTGCGAGAGAGAAATCACTTGACCCAGAGACTCATGCAGGAAGCCGGTATGACTGGTACTGATCTTACGTTAGCTGTAAACGCTCGCATAGCTGGTGAGAAGGACCGCGAATATATCTTAGTCAAGAACGAGGGAGCCGAAGGCGGATGGGCTCTAGGGGTTGTCAGCAAAGAAAAAGATCATGGCGAGATGCACAATCCTATTGATATTGAAGCCCTAGAGTTTCAATACCAGACTAAGGAGGAGGAGGATGAATGGGAGGACGACGAGGACTTCGAGGACGTCCCTATCGAAGGTGTAAATCGGCTTCCCAAGCCTCAGTTGGCATCTCGGGCTGCCCGCGAGAATGTATTCATTTCCGATGAGGACGACGATTCACTGTTTGTTGGGGGAAATGCCGGAGATGATACTGATGCTCTATTTGAGTCTCAGAATAGGGATGAAACCCTTCTGGACGATGAAGACGAGGACCTTAACCGAGCTATCGCCATGTCATTGAAAAGTCAGCACGGTGTAAACTCACCAGGGCACGAGGAAGAAGAGGCAGATGAGGACTTTGAGGATGTCCCTGCTCCCGAATGGACGCAAAAGGCCGCCGAGCAACAACAAAAGCCAATCACATCTAAAAGCGGTAGTATGATTGCCCACATTGTGAACAACAGAGCAAACGCGGCTATGCCAAAACAGACGCCGCAGCCTCCACCGAAAAGACGAGACAGCAATGCCAGCAGCGACAGCGATGTTGATCTGCGGGCTGCGCTATCTTCTAGGAGGAGAAAGAAGAAAGCCCCAACCTTCAAGCCACAGCCTATGCCTACAGTCCCCAACGTGAAAAATCCATTTGATGGGCCTTTACCTTTCGAGAAACTAGATTGGAGGTCTAGCATTTTCGCGAAGAAGGAGCAAGCACCGACGAAGGCTTCCGAAAAGGAGATTACCAGTGAACAAGATTCTGACTCAGAGATGGCTGGTGGGTTTATACGAGATGCCGAGGACAGCGAAATGCCCCCCGAGGAGCATCATCAAGACGAAGCCCGCCCGCTGCCACCATGGATGATACAAGACCAGTCAGATATTCGAGAGTCTATAAAAGCGCGGCAAGAAATTGAGCGTGAAATTAACGAGGAAGACCGGGAAGCTGCGTTCGAAGAGGAGAGGCGATGGCGGAAGGATGCAGTGATCGAGATCGAGTCTTCTGGTGACGAGAGCGACGTTGAAATCATCGATGCACCTCCGCCACCTCGCCAGAAAAGCCCCGTACATATTGAAGAAACTCAAGATGTTCCTCGAGATATTCCAAGGTTGTCTCCAGCTACTTTGACGAGAGTCAACCCTCCAGTAGCCCATGAGGAGGATCAAGTTCAGGATACTCGTCATGCAGATACTATACAGGAGCAGACGACGTTTCGAGTTCAAGCAATGGACAACACTGTGCCCACTCCAAAGTCTGCGTCAAAATCGCCTTCGCCAGAACCAGAGTTTGAAGAAGTCGAAGTTTTCCAACCTCCGGAAGAGGCTACCAGAGACGACGCTGTCGATCAAGCTGAATCCCCTGAACCAACCTTTGAGGATGTTGAAGCTCCTGCGCCAGAAGTTATCGAACAGCCTGTTGAACAGCTTGATACATCAGAAGCAGCAGCTGAAACGACAAATGATGTAATTTTTGGCGATGCTGAAATTGATGATGACGAATTCAGTGACCCCGAGGAAGAGGAACTGCTCGCTCAAATGGCAGAGGAAGCCGAAGAGCATGCGAGATTTGCCAGTACACTCAATCACAAGTCCGAGCAGGAAAATCAGGAAGCTTATGAGCGGGAACTTAAAGCACTCCGGACGCAACAGAAGAAGGACCGCAGAGATGCGGATGAGGTCACGCAGATTATGATTACCGAATGCCAGGCTCTGTTGCGTTTCTTTGGCATCCCCTACATAACGGCACCCATGGAAGCCGAAGCTCAGTGCGCCGAGCTCGTGAAACTTGGTCTAGTTGATGGCATAGTAACGGACGACTCTGATACCTTCCTGTTCGGTGGCACGCGCGTGTACAAGAACATGTTCAACAGCAACAAGTTCGTCGAATGCTATCTTGGCTCCGATCTCGAGAAAGACCTCTCCCTTTCCCGGGACCAGCTGATATCTCTAGCCCAGCTGCTTGGGTCCGATTACACGGAAGGCCTACCAGGCGTCGGACCCGTGACCGCTGTCGAGATTCTTTCCGAGTTTCCCGGTAGAGACGGGCTCGCGAAATTTCGAGAGTGGTGGGACGACGTCCAGATGAACAACCGGCCCAAGGACGCAGACCAGGCTTCGGTATTTCGGCGGAAGTTCCGCAAGTCGCAGGGTAAAAAGCTGTTTCTGCCTCTTGGCTTCCCCAGCCCGGCTGTGTATGACGCATACCTCAACCCAATGGTCGACAGTGCCGCGGAGCAGTTCCAATGGGGCGTGCCCGATGTCGCGGGTCTGCGCCAGTTCCTCATGACCACAATCGGGTGGAGCGAGGACCGTACGGATGAAGTGCTCGTCCCCGTGATACGGGACATGAACCGCCGCGAGGCTGAAGGTACTCAGAGCAATATCACGCGGTTCTTCGAGGGCGGTGTAGGCGTCGGAGCCAAGGAAGCGTTCGCCCCGAGGCAGAGAGTTCAAAATAGCAAGCGCATGGCCCAAGCCGTCAATAAGCTACGCGCGAACGCTGTCGTCGACAGTGCCTCTACCACGCATGAAGCTGGAGCTGCGCCCGAAGAGGACGAGAGCCTTGCGCCGCCGCAAACGTCTGGGCGGCGGAAGAGGAAGGCTGGGAATACAATTACGATTGACGATGATGACGATGAAGATTATGCCGACGGGGACGGCGCATCGAATGGCAATGGGAATAAGGGTGGTCAACAGGATAGGGAGAACGGCGTTCGGAAGACTGCTGCTACTACTGCTGGCAAGCAAAAGGGCAAGGGCGCAAAAAGGGGAAAGAGGGCTAAGGCGTCTACATCTACCTAGGACTCTATATCTAGTATCTATAATGAGAGGCTAGAAGACTCAGGTCTTGTATAATGTACTGTTGGATTTAAAAATCTACGGTTGGATACTGCAAAGACACTATATCGACCCAAGAGTTGTCTTGTACGTGTGAACTTATACTTAAGATATGGTGCCGCCTGGCTAGACGTGCGCCATTTCCCCGTCCATTGGGAAAATGGCATTGGGAAAATGGACAATGAAACATGAAAACTGCTATGATGGATTTCCTACCGCCAGAGGCATTTGATGACTGCAAGCTATATTTCTATCCACCTCCCTACCCGCACACAGTGAGGGTTAGCAAAAACAGATGCGGGGCAGCGTAAACCCTCCAGAATTGTGCAAGAAAAGAGGAATAAAATAGCAAATGCTCTCAAGTCCAAGCAACAAACTTCTATTTCCACTATATTTCTTCAGGAACAAACAGCAAAAAGAAAAAAATTTGATCAACGCAGGGATCGAACCTGCGGCCTTCTGTGTGCCTACAACCATGACGGGATGCTTGTAAGACAGATGTGATAACCACTACACCAGTTGACCGGTCATGTTGACGAATTATTTTAATGTTTGTTATATGCCGCGCACTACGTATGTGGGGCGCATTGTCCACAGGCGTAAGCGTAAGGGTTAAGTAAGATAATAAAGTTAATAATGTTAATTAATAATAGCTTTTATATTTAAAATAAATTATAATTATTTTTAATTATATTTTATAAAATTTATATATATTTTATTAAATTTAAAATATTTTATATATAATATAATATAAAAATATAAAAAATAAATAATATAAAATAAATATAAAATAAATAATTAATTTAAATAAATTTTAAATTAATTTAAAAAATATTTTATTTTATAAAAATATTTTTATATAAAAAATTTTATTTTAATTAATTAATTTATATAAATTTTTTTTAAATTTTTTTTATAATAATAATAATTTATATTTTTTTTTTAAAATTATTAATTTTAAAATATAAAAAATTAATTATTAATAAATATTTAAAATAAATATATATATAAATTATTATTAATATAATATTTATTTATTTTATATAATAAATTTTTTAATAATTTTTAAATATATATTAATTATTTTATTTAATTATATTTTTTTTAATATAAAAAATATTAAAACTTTTTATTAATTAATTAATTATAAAATTATAATAATTTAATAAATTAATATATATTTAATTAAATAAATTTAATATTTATTTTTTAATAATAATATATAAATATATAATAAAATTTTAAAAAATTTTAAAAAAAAAAAATATAAATAATAATAAATTAAATATATTTATTATTTTTTATTTTTTATAATTATTATTTTATATATTATATAATAATATAATTAATATTATTTAATTTTATAAATTAAAAATTATTTAATAATATTTAATTAATTTAAATATAAATTATAATATAAAAATTATTTAATAATATTTTTATAATAAAATATTTATTTTATAATATATTAAATATATAATTATAAATAAAAATATATTAATATTATTAATTTTTTTATTATTAATTATTTAATATATTTATTAAATATTATTTAATAATTTAAAATTATAAATATAAAATATAAAAAATATTATTTATTTATTATAATTTATTATTTTTTAAAATATATATTTATTAAAAATAATTTTAAAAATAATTAAATATAATTTTAAAATAATTATAAAAATAATTTTAAATTTAATTTTATAATTAATAATTTTATATAATATTAATATATTTTATAAAATTATAATAAATATTTTTATAATAAAAATTTTTTAATTTAAATATTTTATTTTTATTAAAATTATTTATATTTTTTTTATTATTATTAATATTTTTAATAAATAAAAATAAATTTAATATTAATTTAAATTTAATAATTATTTTAAATTTAATAATTAATTTAAATTTAATAATTAATTTAAATTTAATAAATATTTTAATATAATATTTTAATTTTTAAATTTAATTTAAATTTTTATAATTATAAATATAATTATTATATAAATTAATAATTTTATTATTTTTAAAATTTAAAAATTAAAATTATTTTTTTAAATATAATTTATTAAAATATATATTTATAAAAATTAAATTAAAAAAATTAATAAATAAATTAAATATATTAAATAAATTATTTTTTTTATTAATTTAAATTTAAAATTATTTAATATTAATAAATTTTTAATTTTTATAAATTTTAAATTAAAATATAAAAAAAAAATTTTATATTTTTTTAATATATAATTTTATATTTTATTAAATAAAATTTTAAAAAATAAAAATTTAAAAAATATTTTATTTATATTAATATTATAAAATATTTTTATAATAATATTATTAAATAATATTTAAATAAAATAATTAAAAAAATATTAAATTAAATTTTTTTTTAAATAATAATATATAATATTATTATAATTTATAATTATTTAAAAAATATTTTTATTTAATTTATTTAATAATTAAATTATATAAATAATTAAATTTTAAAATTAAAATTATATAATTATAATTTAAAAAATAATAAATATTTAAATAAAAAAATATAAAATTAAAATTATTATTAAAAAAATTATTATATTTTAAATTATATTTAATATAATTATTTATAAAATTTAATTTAAATTATATTTTAATAATTAAAAAAAAAATATAAATAATATTAAATTTATTAATTTATTTAATAATATAATAAAATTTTATATAATAAATAAAATAAAAAAAACTTAATTAATTTATAAAATTTAATTAATTTAAAAAATTTAATTAATTTATAAAAAATTTTTTATTATTTAATTTATTTTTTTTATTATTTAATATATTTTTTAATATATTATTTAAAAAAAAATTTTAAAATAATAATATTTTTAAAAAAAAAACTTAATAATTAAAATTTAAAATAAAAAAATAATATTTATTATTTATAAATAAAAATAAAAATTAATTAATTAATATAAATAAATAAATATTAATTATATTTATAATTTAAAATATAAAATTAATATTATTTTATATATAATATATTATTAAAAAATATAATAATAAATATTAAATTAATAATTAAAAAAAAATATTTTTATTTTATTAATTATTTAATTTTTTATTAATGGTTTATTTATTTTTAATAATTATATAATAAATATAATAAATTATTATATAAAAAATATTATTATTTTTAAAAATATATAAATTTAATAATAATTTAAAATTATAAAAATAATTTAAATAATAAATATTAATATATTAAAAAAATATTTTATATTTTTAATTAATAAATAATTAATTAAATTAAAATTATTAAAAATTTATAATTATATATTTAATTATTAATAATATATATAATAAAATAAATTAAAAATAATAATAATATAATTTAATAATAAAAAAAAAATTTATTTTATAAATATAATATTAATAAATAAAAATTATAAAAAATTTAAATTAATATATTTTTATTAATTTAAAAAACCGTATATATATAAAATAATTAATTAAAATTATTTTAATTAAATTAATATAAATTATTAAATAAATTTTATATATTTTTAAATAAAATAATAAAATTTATAATTTATAATAAATAATAATTATTTATAATTTAATTAAATTTTTAATTTTTTTTTTAATTATATTTTTTTTAAATTAAATATTATTAATTTTTATATTAATTTTTATAATATTAAATTTTTTTATTAATTTTAATAATTAATATATTTTTATTTTTAATATTTTTATTTTTTAATTATAATTAAATAATAATATTAATATATATTAAAAAATATTATAATATTTATATATTTTTTTTTATATTTTATTAATAATTTTTTTAAAATTAATTTTAATTTTTTTAAATATATTAATTATATTTTAAATTAATTTTATTTTAAAAAACTTTTTAATTTATTTATAAATTTTAAAATTTTTTTTTTTTTTATATATAAATAAATTAAATAAAATATTATTTAATAAATATATTAAAAATTATTTAATAAAAAAATATATATATATAAAATATTTATTATTTTTTAAATTAAAAATATAAATAATAAAAAATATTAATATATAAAAATTTTTTTAATTTAAAAATAAAAATTTAAAATTTATTATTATTATTAATATTTTTATAATTAAAAATTATAATTTTTTTTTATAATAAAAAAATATTATTTTATTTATTTTTTTTTATATTTTTTTTATTTATTAAAATTAATTTTTAATTATAATTTAAATAATAAAAAATAAATATTTAAAACTTTAATTAAAAAAATTTTTAATTAAAAATAAATTTTTTTTTTTTAATTAATTAATTTTATTTTTTATTTTAAATAAAAAAAAAATTTTTATATTAAATTAAAATAATTTTATTAAATAATATTTTATAAATAATTATTATTTATTTTATTTTATTTAATTTAAATTTTAAATATTATATTTTAATAAAATTAATTATTAAATATTAAAAAAATAAAAATTCGCATATTTAATAATAATAAATTTATATTTAAAACTTTTTATTATATATTATAATTAAATAATAAATATTTATTTTATTATTAAAATTATTATAAATTTTAATAATTTTATTAATAAAATTTATATAATTATAATAAATTTTTTAAATATATATTATAATTAATATATATATATATATTTTTATAAATAATTTATAAATTTTATAATATTTAAATAAAAATTTTTTAATATAATAAATATAAAAAAAATATATAATTTTATTTTTTAAATTAAAAATATATTATATAAATTTTTTATATATTATTTTTTATTTAATAAAATTATTATTTATAATTATATATTTAAATTTTTAATTATATTTAAAATTTTTAATTTATTAAATAATTATATTAAAATATAAATAAATTATTATTATATTTTATTTTTTAATAAAAAAAATATATATAAAATAATTAAAAATTATATTTATTATAATTTATAATAATAAAAAAAAATTATTTTTAATTAAATTTAATTATATTATAAATAAAATTTATTATAATTAAAATATTTTATTATATTAAAACTTTAATAAATATTTTATAAATTTAAATAAAATTTAAAAATAATTTATTATTTTATATATTTTTAATTTATTTATAATAATAATTTTATTATTTTAAATATTTAAATTAATTATTAATTTTAATAAATTAAATAATTTTATTAAAATTTATATTAAATAAATTAAAAAATATTATAAATTTTATTAAATTAAAATTATTTTTTTTAAAATTATTTTAAATATTTTTAATAATTTAAATTATAATATATTTTAATTTATAATTTTAAAAAATTATTTAAATTAATAAATTATTTTTTTTATTTATTAATAAATTATAAATTTATTTTAAAATTTATTAATTTTAAAATTAAAATTAAAATTAATTATAAAATTTATTTAATATTTTTATATAATTTATATTTTTTTTATTATTATAATAATATTTTAAATTATTTTTTTATATTTAAATTTTATTATTTAATAAAATATAAATAAATATATA